TTAGCAGAGAGATGTTTTCGTGAAAGGCCTTAACCCATAGCCCCAAAGCCCCAAACCCTAATGACTAATCCTCAAACTCTACAGTCTCTTCAAGCCCTAAAGCCGTAAATGCTGAACCCGTCTTGTAAAACCTCGTTGAAGCTGTCGAAAGCTCTCTTAATCTGATACTGTAGACCCTCATAGCACCTTCAAAAAATCCACCAGACTCCTGCTAGAAGCCCCAAGCCCCAAAGCTCAAAATCCTAGAACCGTAAAGCCAACAAACCCTCGAGCCCGAAACACCCAAAGCCCATCAACGCCCTATGATCTGGTCTGTCCGAACGCGATATAGGGGTCGGAAGAAGGAATAGTAGCATCCCCTCATCGTCCTTATGCACTCGTACCATAATGTACGCCAGGCACTCTATTCTACGTAGTAAGGCCACTTGCGTAAAGCCCTAGACCCGAGAAGCCTTGTTATGCTTCCCCATTTCTTGTTTGACGACCTTGCCAGGCAAGAGTGATTTGAGCAAGACCTCCTTACTACACAGCCCTTGAGGGAACCCCAAAGAGCCTGTAGAAAAATCCCACAAACTTATCTGGGAACTTATTCTACTTGTTAGGGCCCCCTTATATAGTATCCAACACCCTCATAAGAACGCTCAACCCAAAACCCCAACCCTTCTAACAACCTTACTGAGCCTCACTGGTTCTCTTGTCGTTTTTTTGGGGGGCGTTTTTGGCTCAGATGAAGCGCTCGCGTTCTCCAAGCCGCCGGCGCAGCCGCAGCCCTCGCCGATCCAGGCTGTGAGCGTCTGCTTTTTGGTCTTTAGGTAAGTTGGGTACGGGGTTTATCGGGTTTAGGGTCTCCGGAATTAGCGGTTTACCGGTTGAGGTCGGATGAGTACAACGGGTCGAATGGTGTTCCCTTAGATGTTATTGTGTAGACGTGCGTTATGCTTGGCTGCTTATCAGAAATACTGTTGAGCGTCAGAGTTTTGACACAATGTTGGACACTGCTGTATTCTACTGGAGTGGTGATGCCGCATTGGTACACGCTCTGATATCTTCTTGGTCCTGCTTGGATAGGAAGTATGCTATGCAGGTCTGGAGGTGGTGGCCGTGGTGGCGGCGGTCGCGGTGGTGGCGGCGGTGGTAGGCCACCAAGTCGGCCCATGCAGCGAGCCAAGCCCTCAGAACTTCGCAATCGGTGATGTTCGTTCTTGCTGGCGGTTGCAGAACTTTTGGTAGCAAGGGCCATGGTGTAGGAGCCGTCGGCTCGCGGCCACTGAGGGCGGAGACCGGGACTTTGCACGCCGCGACGACTCTCGCAGACGCGACCGCCGCGACTCGCGCGCTCGTGACTCCCGTGCAAGGGGACCGAGGCCAGGGAGCAGTTCTGAGCCTCTAAGCGTCCATAGCCCTCATGAGAAGCACCGGGGGCATGACTACCACCATTCGAGCGGTTCTTATCATGACTTACTATTACATGGTATGTTTCGAAACGAGCGGACAAGAGAATGCACAGCACGAGGAGCTTGGAAGAAAATGCATGGCACACTGCGGGGATTGCGCTTCGTAGTCCCTGGAGTTTTGCAAAGGGCCCAAGCCTTGTCTCATTTTTCAAGGACATCGCTGACCATCTACAGGATGCCTCCTGGTTCTGTGTTTCAAGGGAAAGGGTGCACCATGGTCTACCTTCGGCTACGGTGGCCCCCCCCTGCACTGAGTGATTGTGCATCCTGCGAGCCGTGAGCCAGCCGTAGCTCTGCACCTTCCCTACAAGTTTACAAGCTTTCAGAGCAAAGCTTTTGCCGAGGCCGATTGTAAGTAGGACAAAGTGGTGACAGCAATTACGTGCACAACGCTCAGTCCAGGTTCCCAGTGCTGCCTGACCCACAGAATCCCACAGATCCATTTGCAACCGAAGCGTGAAATTGCTCCTCACATCTTGCCAAAGCGCTTCGCAGGCAGAGAAGTGCTCGCAAGGGATCGCGCAGCAGAAGCTTCCGCAAAGCATCACGCAGCAGCAGGCACGCCTGGATCATATGTCATGCCTCTGCCCAGGTTACACGTGGCAATGCAGTACATCCACACTAAGCTGGGCCTCAAGATGATTTCGTATGAAGCCCATGGATCGCGACTTTCTTCAGTGTCCTAGATGGGCCCATGGTGGCTCTGAATCTCAAAACCCGATTTCCTGGAAAGACCAGGCAGCCCGTTGCACCCGTCCCGAAAGACCTGCGAAACCTTTCGCTTGAGGCGCTGATGGGCGATTTCTGATCGACGGCTGAGCCTGTCGATGTCACCGCCTGACTGTGCGGGCTGAGGAATTGGGCTATGGTGGATTTGCGCGATCAGGGTTGGTTTTCGTGAAGTCATAGGGGCGTAGCGTTTGGTGATTTGGGCGGTCTTTGGCGTTTCGAAACGTTGTGGACACAGCCATCTGGAGCCTATACGAGATTAGAAGATCGTACAATGAGGGGCGGGGGTGGTTGCTTGTTTCCTGAAGGGGATATGCGAAGGAGTCAAAAGACGCCGGCCTGCAGAGTTTGCCCTGCACGTTGTCGACCTCTTTGAATCTCTCTTCCTTGTGCATCCGGGAGGTGGGGCATCCTTCCGTCGTCGCAAGCTGAGGTGGGCTCTTGAGCAGCATGGTGTGTGTGCTTGTCGAAGTTCATACAGCAGCAGAAGAATTTATCCCAACTTCTCGAGGTTTTTTTGCTGAAGAAGCTTATGATAAGCCGAGGTCCAGATGACGACTGTGTTCATGTTGGTACTGGCATGTCGATGCCTTGGCTGAAGGTTCAAGTTGATCGTGACAAGGTGTGACAAGCTGCTGGCAATTCAAAGTTTCGTAGTCACACAAAACATCGGTTCTCTGTGCGGTGTAGACTTGCATGAATCGAAGCATCTCATGGTTCTCAAGCTGGTTTTCCCCGCATGTTCCGTTTTCAGCGGCTTCAAGGCAGAGCACGTTGGCAGCCAGGGACAACTGCTGCCGACGCGGCCTTCGCCAATATAGAGGTGTTGCGCTATTGCGATTTTAGCCTTCAGTCCAGCGCGGATAAGCAGACGTGTAGTGTAGCAATACCGTTTGCCCATCTCCCGCCTCTGCTTCGCCAATGCTGATAATCATGTTAGATCCCGCATCTTAGCACATCCAGCTGGCGAGGCGGTACGGCCCGGCCAGAAAATCCACCAGAGCTACTCCCCGGATGGTCAGGAATCGCTGCTACGTTAGCAAAGCCGGCACCCTGGAATTCCGGAGAGTCCGTGCGCCTGATTTGTGTTGAAAGAATCAGCGAGTTGCAGGGAAAGGGAAGCTTCGTTTGTCGCAGCACGAGACTTCCAGCGGAAACCACGAAACAAACCGACAGATACGTGACCGGGGGCGGCTGCGGCTGCACTTGGTGTGGACTTTTAGCCGCCAGCCATCTTTTGAAATGAGCTAGCTTCCACAGATCTCTGCAACATCACGAAGAGAAGTTGCGAATGAGACCTTGAAGTAGCTGGTGTTCGACCTAGGCTGCTTGCTGCGATGCCGGACTTCCTGAGCGCAGCAATGCTGACCGGCGCCAAGCGCACGGCAAGAGTTTTCGGAGACAAGAAGCCTTGGAATGGACTCAATAAAAGCGCGATCCAATGTTGGCCGATCACTCGTGGTGTTGTTGCAGGATCCTTGACATGTTTTGGCTCTTTGAAAGCGACGGCCTCGTGATCCTTCTGCAGAGCTCAAGCCTTTGCTTTGTCCCAGCCAAAAGACAACACCGCCCAAAGCCAAATCTGCGGATGCTTCGCTTGTCGTCCATATTCACGTTCTTGTCAGTAGAATCAATATCCTGACCTTGTTGCTCATCATGCGATCATGCCCTCATCATTTGTGCCGTGAAGTTCGTTGCCATCTCTCAGCATTACGAGGGGCCAAGGCATACAGCCTGCATCCCGAGCCTTGAGCCCAAAACCCTGACCCGAAACCCAGGGCTTCTGTGCTTAAAGCAATGCCCTCGGCGCCTGCGACAAAGTGCGAGGCCGGGTGAGGCTTTTCGGGAGTAGGCTTCGCGGTGGGCTTCGCGCACAAACAACCATCGCCAAACACCATGTCCAGCGGCATGCGGTGTAGTCCTGACCAAGTCCAAGACCATAGACGGTGACTTCTCCTGCACGACAATCAGTGCAGTGCTCAAAGACAATTTGTTCCCGGTGATTTTTTGCTTTTAAAAGGTTTGTGCAGTTCGTCCTGTGGTACTTCTTCCCAGCTTTGCTCGTGACCGTCACGTTCCCGACGTGGGCCTTCCTTTTCACTTGGTTCCTTGCAGAAGCCATTTCCCAGATGTAGTTTCCCACGAGCGCAATGCCTCCTACGGCTGTTCCTAGCTCCAGAAGCATCATCGCACACATCATCATCGAGTGCTTCGCTACCATGTTCAACGTGGAGCTTTCCTAAAGGCTTTACCTGAAGCGGTTCCCTCACAACTTTTCCTGTGAGTGGTCGGCTCTGCAGTCGACGTCCTTTTGAGCCTAGTCCGGACGAAAAGAGGTTCCTGTCACGGGACTTGGCACACATGCACTGTATCTGTTCCTACTGGGCAGAAATGCTTAAACACACAAGCAAAAAGTTGAAAACACCTTAGAGTTGAAAATAGAAAACTAGGCTGAGCTCGTGGCGTTGAAGAACTTTGTTGCAGGAAAGGCCCTAGGCTGTTGCGGTTTGAAATCTACGGCGGCGAGTCTGAGTCCTAGTCAAAGATGCCGCGGAACACCCTCCTCGAGGCTGTGCGTCAAGGACAGTCAAGCGCAGGGTCTGAGATTGTGGCACTGGCTTTTGAGATGCGTTCAGATGTTGTGAGGTGGGTTCCAGCATTGGGAAGCGGCACGGAATTGTTGTAGAGTACGTGCATCAATGTATGCATTCAGGTGGCGTCGAAATGGCCTAATTAAGGACTGTCCCAGGATTGCTTTGCAGTTTGCCACAGTGGCATTGTACAGCCACAATCCGAACAATCCTCAGCTGCTTAGCCATGGGCCTAGCTCTCGCAACTGCAGGGACAGTGAGCCTCGCGACCGTCCCCACAGATGACGACGTGGTGCTGCCCGATGATGAGCGCCTGAGTGCAAGAGCGCAACCGGCTTATGTCCTCATCGTTGGCAAGGGCATGATGTCGCATTGGGCATCGGTGTGGATATTTGAGGATGGAAGCATCTACTCAATGGAGCTCTCCGCGATTGAGAATACCGGAAGACGGTGGGTTCAATGCAAGTACAAGATGCGCCACCTGAAGCCTGGAACACGACGAGAGGGATCCAACGAACCAGAGGGATCCAACTCATCAGACTCAGTTGAAGCGATTCTGGCAGACATCGGACACGAGTCTGCATCAACGGATGTTCACAAATGCTTAGTCAGCTTTCTGAAGCAATGCGGGAGCGGACATTACATCATGACGCGGACGCCAATCCGCATTGATTGGACATCACCTTGGGAACTAAGGAACCGCGCCTCTGCAGTTCCATTACATGGCGGTTTTTATGACCTCTTATTCCACAACTGCCAGGTCTTCCTCATTCAGCTGCTGTGTAACACCGAGTACAAGATTGATGCAGGAAAACTGCCAACAACGGTTGGGTCAGTTGCGGCTGCCCCAACATTGCTCATTCTGGAGGTATGCTTCGTGGCGCTCTACATGAATCTGCGGCACCATGACCTCCCTGAGGTGGCCGGGGCACTTGGGGTGCTTTGGATCGCAGCAGAAATGTTCCTTACCTCGCGCTACCGACGTGGTGTGTATTGTATATATGGCTCCTTGGCTACACTATGCCTCTTGCTTTGCATTGTACTCTGGTGGCCCATCGCTTTGCTCCTCACCTGCTGCGCCACTCTCTATGCTCCCTTTCTTTTGATGACAGTTGCCAGCTATGATGGCGAATATTTGCATTATTTTGCGTTGGTCATTGGCGGCGGAGCTGCGTGTATGATCGGATTGCCCGCAATAGTCTTTCACCCATCTGCGACAGCAGCTGGAGTTCCCCTTATGAGCTTGGTTTGGGACTTATGTATGGTGCTGGCAGCTTTGGAGGAGAATCGCGCTGCGAACTGTCGAAACTGGTCATGGGTGCTTGTGGCATGCGTTGCAGTTGCCCTGCTGCAGTGGTCTGCTGGGTTGCCAATCCAAGAGCTTTGGCTAATTCCTGTGGCATTTGCTTCTTCGGTGTGCGCCTGTTCTGTCCACAATGTGGTGCTTTTTGGGCGGCCAGCGGTTGTGCTATAGATAGGCCCGTACAAGAGCACGAACTTGAGTTACTTGAGGTCGGAGACTTTGACCTTGCATCGCGGGCCTGATTTGGATCGTGCGGAAAGTCTGTCGGTGTGTCCGGCACCTGTGTGCTCTATGTCTCTATGTTCTCAGTTTAATGACCTGTCTCTCTATGCGTCGGCAGACTGGCGACGGACGTGGTGTAGTATGCTACTAGAGTATTGGTGCATGTTTCGAGGAGTTGGAAGACCAACCGGTGACCTTCAATGCTTAAACCGTATACCTCGTTCTTCCCGATTAGAGCCTACCAAGATGCTCTCACCTCCCCGCCAAGCCCCCAAAACATGGGGGCGCCCTGGAGATCAAGGGAACAAATTCGCTCCCTATGCATCGGAGAAGGAGACGAGTGTGAATGCAATTACACACTACAAGCCGATGAGGCGCCATGCCCTGGGAGACCTTGGGTGCACCGAGTGCCATTTTCGATCTCCCGGGAAACAAGGCGCCACTGGCTGTGAATTCCTTGTCTGGGGTGGGGGGTTACAGAATTGAGACTGTGCCTTGATTGGGAGTGTTTGTTTTCTTCCTCCCCCTGTCACGAGGTTTTTGTTGCATGCTGAGCTGCCTGCCAGGAATGTGCGGACTGCAAAGCTTACGGTCCGAACTGGGCATCATGGAACCTGGGAATCCTGGTTTGCACAACCTGCCGCTCGGCCGTTGCGCTATATCCATGGATCGCATTGACATGTTCTCGGAAGAGCTTCAGGCAACTGTAATGGTGCCTCGTAGCAACGGGAGCCACGGACTGCCCGGTTCGATGATCTTCATGTCACCGCATGCATGGAAGATTCTGCGCGGAGCTCGATACTGAAAGTTGAGGCTCCGGAGTGCATCGCCACCTCGGAGTTCACATATCGAAGGTGCTCTGCACTGTTGGCAGGGGCGACAGAAAGCTTTGCACTCGGTGTTACAGCTCCCAAGGCCCAATGTCCCAGCTCAGTATCGTGAAAGCTGGGCGTCAGATTCGTAGCATCTGATTGCATGGTCCACAGTCGGGTCTTCGGACTTCGATAGAGACGGCAGGTCAAATCTGCGACCATGGACAAATGGAAGGAAGATCAGGTGCGCAAGACAGCCGCGATCCGGGGTGATCTAGCATGGGACCCGAGCGACTTCCCTGTGAACTTAGAGCTTCCATTCTTCCATGGCTCCGCAACTTTCAACTCGTAAAGGACAACCAAAGCGAGCGGCTGGGTCTTCTTGGATTCCAGAGGCCGTCGCGTGCCTCACCATCGGCAACGAGCGCTCCAACGCCTACTACGAGTGTCCTGGCGAGAAGGAATATGATCTGTCGTTCCGCCCGACGAGAACATAGCGCAGGAACTTGCGAAAGAGAATGAAGTGGAACTTAGGTACAATGTCCCGGCCGGTGCCAAATACCTCTGCAAGTCGCAAGTCGCCGCAGGCCTTACTGCGAATCTCTTGTCAAAGGGTCGCTTCCTGCCTTGGTCTGGGTTGGAGATCGACAGGCGACAAGATCGATCCGGTGGAGGCCCGGAAGATGGAACGCTGGATCCGCCGCCGCCTTGGCGGAAGGTGTTTAATATTGGCCTTAGCTGACATCGGCAGCTTTCAAGGGCGTGGTGCCCTCGCGTCCCTCGCCTAGCGAGAGTCAAAACAAAAGCATCGTTTTGGAATCGCCGGCGCCAAGAGCAGAGCAGGCAGAGCAAATTTTGGAGTGGTGTTGCAACGATTTGCAACCTGTCCTCAGTGACTTGCCCTGGGGTTGCATCTCACGGGCCACTCCGAAGAACCGCAGAAAGTGTCAGCCAGCCAAGCCCAAAAGTTCTGCGGCAGAGATGCAGCTGCCTTCCGAAATCGGCCCCTTTGGCCTCCTACAGGGCAAAGCATACTTTGAGGTGCGAAGTACGAGACCAAGAAGTATGCGCAACCGGGTGTCGATCCGCCACACGTCCGTTTGGCTCGAGGTGGGAAGAAATCTCATACAATCGGGACATGACCAAGCAGTCTAAAAGGCTCATGAGCACAGAGGGGAGCAAAGGGCAGGTACCATTTTGTCCTGGGAGGGCAGCAAGTTTGTAGCAGCCTGGACAGGTGAGTCGTTGACCGGCGGCGCTGAGGCCCAGGCGAAGCAGGAGAAGACTGAAGAGGCTAGGGGCATTGATTCAGGATTACTCTCATTATGAGTATCATCGCAATAGCAACTACTGTTTGTAGTGTGACTAGCACTGGTCACGAGTATTAGGTGTTTGGACATGGTAGAGTGTTCCCCCTGTCTCATCAACTGTGCAAAGCTGCGTGAGCGACATTACGATCAGGTGGACGCATCTCCTCTGAGCGAGAAGAGCGACCAGGATAGAAAGGATAAAAAAGAGAAGAAGGAGAAGAAGGACAGCAGGAAGGAAGCCAAGGAAGGGAAGAAGGACAAGAAGGACAAGAAGAAGAACGCAGAGGCGCACTTGGGATCTTTCACAGTTGGTGTTTCTGAGCTTGTGGAGAACGAGGAGGTTGCAACAGCTGGCCGGAATCCTCTGCTGAGCTCTTTCTCATACGAAGAAGCCCAAGCTTCGAAAGGGTCAAAGGGAGTTGAAATTTTTCTCCACCTTGACCCCCGATGATCTCCTGCTGGAGGGAGTGTTGCCCACTTCGTCGTCCTGCAGTGTGTAGACAGGACTCGCCTTCCAAAAGCTCGCCAAAGAAAGAGGGATCCTCGGCTGGAGAGCTACGCAGCTACACGCTAGAAAAGAAACCAGCTAGCAGTAGTCGTTGGTGGTGGTGGTGGTAGTATCAGTATCAGCTTATCAGTAGAGTAGCAGTAGCAGCAGCAGCAGAAACATCTGCAGCAGTCGTAGTAGTAGTAGGAGGAAGAGGAGGAGGAGGAGCAGCAGCATCAGCAGTAGTTGTTGCTGTCGGTGGTGGTGATGGCGCTGCGGCGGCGTTGCCATTCTCGTTAGCGTAGCTTTGGTGTTGGTGGTGCGGATGTCGCCGTCGTTTTTGTCGTCGTCGTCGTCGTCGTCGTCGCAGTTGTTGTTTTTGCTAGCGCATGGATTACTGTCGTGCGTTTCTGCTGTTTTCGGGGTTTGCTCTTCCGGTCTTTGGG